CCAGGAAGCCCCCTAACCCTCTCTTCCTCTTCCTCCAGGAAGCCCCCAACCCTCTCTTCCTCTTTCTCCAGGAAGCCCCCAACCCGCTCTTCCTCCTCCTCCAGAAACACCCTCTAGCCCCCTTTTCCCTCCAGAAAGCCCCTCTGACCCATCCTCCTCCTCCTCCAGGAAGCACTCCTGACTCCTTTTTCCTCCTCCAAGAAGCCCCTCCACTCCTCTCCTCTTCCTCCTCCAGAAACACCCCTGGTCTCTCTTCTCTCCCAGGAAGCCCTCCTGACTCCCTCTTCCTCCTCCAGCAAGCCCTCTGTGACTCCCCCCCCCCTCCAGGAAGCCCCTCTGACTCCTTCCTCCTCCAGGAAGCCCCCCAGGCAGGATCTTGCCCACACTCACCACCTCCACCGCCTCCTCCAGATTGGCCTTGGAATTCTCGTTCCCTTCATCCGTGGACACCAGCAGGCTCTGCTCACAGCCCTGCAGGTGTCCAAAGATGACCGTGCAACTCTCCCTGTCTGCGTGGCCCAGGATACTGGGTGGCCGCCGCAGGCCCTGCCAGGTCTTCAGTTTGCGCTTGTAGAACTCCGTGGAGGGGAAGGCGCAGATGTCCTTGTGCTGCAGGGGAGGGTCAGTGAGTGGGGAGGAGCCCACTCCCCACCCATCTACGAAGCTTTGGGTCCAGGCTGAGGCCAGGGTAGGGGACGGAGGCAGTAGGGGAGGGGGCACTGGCATCTCTAGGCCCCAGGGCTGAGCTGGGCAGGCTCACCATCCTGTACTGCGTGTCCAGCAGGTAGGCGTCAGCGTGGTACCTCTCAAAAAGGGAGCGCTCCAGCCCCAGGTTCTGCAGGTGCTCACTCTTGACCACTGGCCGCAGCTGCTTATGGTCCCCCAGCAGCACCACCTGGACGGAGGCACCACCCGGAGGAGTGAGCAGGCCTGGCCCCCAGGTACCCTGGCCCCCCACCGTCTCCACCCGACAGAGACCCTCACACCTGCACCCCCCGCACGCCCCAGGTGGAAGCCACACCCAGCAACCCCATCGAGGATCCCAGTGCCCTGCCCGGCTGCGCCCGCTGCCCACCTTCTCAGCCTTGGAGAAGTGCACCAGAGGGATGAGGGTCTCGGGCTCCGTGGCCATGCCCGCCTCATCGACCAGGACCTGCCGGATGTTCAGCTTCCTGAGGCTGACCGAGGCCGCACAGGAGCAGGTACACAGGATGACCGTGTGCTGGCTCAGCTCGAACTGCCGCGCCTTCTTAAGCGTACTCTTGTACCTGCACAGAGGACGCCGCCGGGTCATGCTGGGACACCCACACCAGGAGACGGCGTTATGCCCCCACCCCAGCCACTTACACAGTGACATCCTCCTCAGAGAAGATGTTCCCTTCCTGCACCCGGCTGTCAAATGCCCTGAGGGCCTCTGCGTGCGGGTTGGGGGCCTGACGGATCCGATGGTGCAGGGTGATGTTCCTGGGGGTGGGGGAGGCCTCCATGAAGCCCCATTCTTTCCTCATATCCTGCCCGCCTGGACGGCTCTGCCCTTTGCCCCACACACAGATCGACCAACGGACGGCTGGGTGGTGAGGCCGCACCTGAGGTTCCGGTTTGGCTTTCCCTCCCGAGGGGTCTTCCTGGGCAGGCTCTTGCTGCCCAGGCTTGGCCCGGGGAACTCGGTGGCCTCAGCCTGCTCACTGTACACGCGAAGGGGCTTCAGCTCCTCCCTCCAGCTCTGGAGCATCCCTGGAGGCATCAGAGAGGTGAGGCACGGTCCCTGTGGCCCCAGGAGAGTTCCTCCCATGCCCTCCTCCCAGCCTCGTACCTGCCAGGACATCCACCGACTTGTTGGAGGGGCCGCAGTACAAGATGCAGGGGACGCTCTGCCTGTTGCCTGCAGGCACCAGCGCCTGGTTGGACTTGTGGAACCAGAACACGATGTGTAGGCCCACGACCGTCTTCCCGGTGCCTGCCGCAGAACTAGTGAGCGCACCGCCCCCGACTCCGCCTGCCAGGCCCCGCCCCGCCTGCCAGGCTCCGCCCTGCCTTCCAGGCCCCGCCCCACCTGCCCAGCTGGACCGTCTTGCCCACCTGCCCTCACCTGGAGGGCCCTGGATGACCGTGAACTGCTTCCTGAGAGCCTCCCGCACAGCCCCGGTCTGGCTGGGGTTCAGCTTGTGGCGGCCTCCAGGGATGTCATAGGTCTGCCGCTTCAGGAGGCTGCTGGGGGCCACTGGGTGGGGCAGGAGGGGAGGGTGGGAGGGCCGGACCACCCCAGCACCAGGACGGGGTGCAGGAGGAAGAGGCAGGAGAAGGGCCTGGGGGGTGTGCCCCCAAGCCCCGGACCCGCCCCGTGCTCCCCACCCAGACCTACCTCTGTGGTGGGGCTGCTGGCCAGGAGGGTGTCTCGGGGGGCGGTGGGGGGGCCGGGGGATGGGCAGGCCCAGGGCAATGCTAACGACCAGTGGGGACGCCTCCTTCAGCTTGTGTACTGCTTCTTCCTTGCGTCTGGACAGGTGGGGGAGAAGATGAATACTGGGAAATCCACAGGCCCCTTGGGGGTGGGGGTGCTGCCCCCCACCCCGTTCCCTCCTGCCCGGGGAACCACTCACAGGTCTGGAAGCTGCTTAGGCAGCACCTCGATGGTGAAGAGGGTGCCGGGTCTCAACACCTCTTCCGGAACCTTCTCCGTGGTTATGTGGTGGACATAGAAGTGCACCTGCCCGGGGGCTTCACGCTGGCCCGCCGGGCCCTCCTCCACGTCCCTCTCCTTAGTCAGCCCGTGAGCCACCCAGGTGTAGGTGTTGGGGTCGATGCTCAGGTGCGGGCCAAGGCTGGTGGGGGGCTCCCCAGCGTTGGGTGGCGCTGGCAGCCCCCCGAGCTGGATGCAGAGGTAGCAGTAGCCAAAGCTGACGTCGATGCTGTGCTTATGGAGGAAGGCGGCGTCCAGGCAGAAGGTACCCTGCAGCTGCCCCCGTGGTGTCCGCTCCTTGTCCCAGCATATGCCCACTTGCTGCAGAGTGATGGAGTCATTCTCGGCCACCGCGCTGGTGGCCGACTCCAGGGCACAGAACGGGCCCCACACGCCAGCATATTCGTCCAGGTTGGCGAAGCGGTCCGGCGCCGGCTGGGGCACGCAGCCTGAGAAGCAGTTTCCAGGCTTCTCCACGTGCTCTAAGCACAGGCTGAGCCCAGGTGCTGCAGTCCACACCTGCAGGGCCGGCACCAGGATGCCGCGCTGCAAGGAGGCACCGAGCTGCACCTGAAGCACGTCCCCGCGGCCAAGCTCCCGCACCACCTCCACGAAGTGCCCACAGGGGCTCCGTGCCACCCAGCCCAGCTCCCGTGGCTGTGACTCCTTGGCACCCTGCTCCCGGACCAGGGTGGCCGCCTCCGGCCAGCGCTGCTGTTCCACAAGCTCCAGCAGCCTCCGCCACAGCACCGGGTCCATGGGCTGAGTATGCTGGTCGAGCAGGGTGCCGGGCCGTGGCGCACAATGCCCATCGTCCAGCACTGAGTAGATGCGGCGACGCCACCGGAGCAGCAGGCCGGGCAGGCCCTCCAGGGGCCGGGGGGGCTCGGCCAGCTGCAGGCCACGGTGGTGCACGGGGCAGGGCTCAGGCAGGCTCTCTCGGTCCGCGGGGAAGAGCACCCGGAAGCAACGGGCGCCTGCCTCCACGTCTACGGCCAAGCCCAGCTTGTCCCGAGGCTGGGCCTGGAGGTGTGAGGCCAGGCGCAGGCTGTAGGCCCGGCGCTGGTAGCTCTGGGCGCGTGCATGCTGGCGTCCAAAGTCTCGGCAGAGCCCGTCGATGTCCTTGGCCGAGTAGGTGGGCCCGCCGAGGCCCAGCACCAGCAGGACCTGCCTCTGCAGCACCACATCCATGTACCGGCGGATGGGGGAGGACGCCCACGCGTACCAGGATACCTGCAGCGAGTGATGGGCAGCCGGCTGCTGCTCACCAAGGCTGGAGCGGCCGAACGCTGAGCGGCCCAGGGCCTTGCAGAGCTCAAAGCAGGCAGGGGCCAGCGAGGGGTGCAGGTCATCGGTGGTGATGAGGTCCACCATCTGGCCAAAGTCCTGGGCCTGGGCGGCCAGCTGCAGCTGCCTCCAGAGCGAGGCCAGCAGGCAGAGCCTTGTGTTGGGGAGGGTGTGGCCATGCAGATGCTGGCGGAGGTGCAGCGACAGAGGGACCAGCCCACAGTGCTTCTTGCTCAGGGTGTCCAGCTGGGTGCTGCTGGGCGCCGGCTGCCACCGCAGGGGCGTGACCGTCTGTGTTTGGTCGCTGCCCACCAGGAACTCAGCCACGCTGCTGTTGAACTGAACCATGTACTCCTTGACCATGGTGTGGGCCGCGCGGAAGCCCAGCACACTGTCCTCGCTCGGCTGCTCGTAATGGCAGTCGCCGCCCAGGCGACACTGGCGCAGGGTCTGGGAGAAGTGGAACGCGGCCACGACGCAGGCGTCCACCGAGTCCAGGCAGGGCGGCAGCTCCTGGTCGGCTCCGGGATGCGACCGGATCATCTGCTCGGCCTCCTCGTAGGATAGCTGGCAGGTGGAGCGGACCACAGAAGGGGCAAATCGCTGGCCGCTCAGCTGGCCGCTGCTCTTCTCGATGGTGAGGAAGAGAGAGATGGCGAGGCGGTCCTGACCCGGCAGGAGGCTGAACGCATCCTGGCACAGGCTGGCCGGCAGCATGGGGACCGGCTCGCGGTCAGGCGCGTAGAAGGCGGTGCCCTGCCGGCGGGCCTCCACGTCCAGTGCACTGTCCCGGGGCAGGAGGGTGGCCACATCGGCAATGTGCACGGCCACCTCATACTGGGGGCCCAGATCCCGGACGCTGAGGGCATCGTCCAGGTTGCAGGCACCCTGGGGGTCCACAGTGAAGGTCAGGAAGCCGCGGCAGTCCTCACGCTGGCCAGGTGCACGGCTGAGCTCCAAGCGGTACCTCTGCAGCACCTTGGCGATGGCAGCCGGGTCCGGCGAGGGCTCCTGCAGGCCGTACTCCAGGTCAAGTACACGCAGGCACCGGTCCCAGGTGGTAGTCTCGGGCAGCACCTCCAGGACGATGCCCAGCGGGTAGTAGAAGCGCTCCCTCCACAGCACGATTCGAACCCGGAAGAGCCGCGTGTGCCGCGCTGCGCCCAACAGCCTCTCATGCCCCACGTGCTGCACGCGGCCCCGGAGCAGGCGGTGGATAGGCACCAGCTGTGGGTCCTTCAGTTCAGCCACGAAGATCTTGGTCACAGAGTTGTCGATGGGGACCATGATGCGGGGATCCCACGTGTCCATCCTGCACACGAAGACCAGCTCTCGTCGGCAGCGCTTCAGCACGCCCAGCACGCGGCCCTGTGGCCGGCCCACGGGCACCTCATCGTCGCCAGCCTTGTGCAGGACCTGCACCAGCACCTCATCCCCTGTGAAGGCCATGCCGCAGTTCAGGCGGCCTTTGACCTGGAAGGTGCCGGGCCCTGCACCATCCAGCGCCACAGCCGTCGCCCGCTCGAAGGTCTCCCGCAGGAAGGTGCAGCGGCGGTATGTCTCAGGCTCAGCTCGGAGCAGCCTTCGGAGCTTGGCAGGGGGCAGGTTCACGTACTGGTGGGCCTGGTGCGCCAACGTGGGCCCGGCCACAGTGTCCAACAGCCCATCCTCTCGAACGGTCACCGTCACATTCCGGCTCTCGTCCAGGAGCTCCTTCAGGATGGAGTCGTCGGCATTGAGCTCCCCGTCCAACGGCCAGAAATCAGACCCAGAGTCCTCAGGGTCCTCAAGCACTGTCTCCCCATCGGCCGTGGCCCCCGCCTCTACTTTCACCGTGGCCGCCTCCTCGGCAGCTGGGCTCCCTCCAGCCACTGGCCCTGTGGCTGTTGCGCCTGCTGCTGCATCCCCTGCCACTGTCCTCTCCTCCCCTGCGGCCGTGGTCTCTGGTGTAGCTGCACCCTCCTTGGCTGTGGCACGCTCCAGTGGGGGCTCCCCTGTTGCCGTGTTCTCCGGGGCCGCCCCAGCCCTCTCTGCTCCGAGGGCTGCTGCTGGCCGGCCCCCAGGGGGCCAGCGCTGCACCTGAGCCACACCCTGCTCAATCTGCTCCAGCGAGAGCCCCTGGGGACAGACGCTGCCGTGCTCCACGCACTCCCGGATGAAGCTCTTCCACAGTCTGCTGCAGGCCCCGAAGGAACAGAGGGCCACCGCATCGCCCACGGCCACCACCTGCGACTGGGCCCTTGTCATGATGGTGTTGAGCACGCGGGCCTCCATGAAGAATTCCATGCTTGTCACTCCGGGGCCGCGCAGGCTGTCACAGGTGTGGATGGTACTCAGCACCACCACCCGGAACTCCCGCCCTGAGGGGACACAGGTCAGAGGGGTGGAGGCCGGGAGGTCAGGGGGCCAGGGAACCTGCTCCCACCCTGTGAGGGACATCGGTCAGGGGGTGGAGGCTGGGGGGTCAGAGGCCCAGGGGCTGGGGGTGTCAGGAGGCTGCGGGGTCAGTGGGCCGAGGCACCTGCTCCCACCTTGTGAGGGACATCGGTCAGGGGGTGGGGGCTGGGGGGTCAGAGGCCCAGGGGCTGGGGGGTCAGGAGGCTGGGGGTCAGTGGGCCGAGGCACCTGCTCCCACCTTGTGAGGGACATCGGTCAGGGGGTGGGGGCTGGGGGGTCAGAGGCCCAGGGGCTGGGGGTGTCAGGAGGCTGCGGGGTCAGTGGGCCGAGGCACCTGCTCCCACCTTGTGAGGGACATCGGTCAGGGGGTGGGGGCTGGGGGGTCAGAGGCCCAGGGGCTGGGGGGTCAGGAGGCTGCGGGGTCAGTGGGCCGAGGCACCTGCTCCCACCTTGTGAGGGACATCGGTCAGGGGGTGGGGGCTGGGGGGTCAGAGGCCCAGGGGCTGGGGGGTCAGGAGGCTGGGGGTCAGTGGGCCGAGGGACCCACTCCCACCCTGGAGAGACACAAGTCGGGGGTCTGCTCAGGCCGGCTGGCCCCAGACAGGTAGCGGGCAGGGCTATTCTCAGGCTGGTTCCCAGGCCCCTACGTGGGGGCGGCTGGCCTGCTTACAGACGTGCCCCATCCCGCTTGTCATACCCCCACCACGGGGTGGTTGGGCAGTGCGAGGGAAGCTCGGGCTCAGGCCTGGCCCTGGCCCTCAGCCCCACCCACCTGGCAGGATCTCAAAGCTGCCCACAGACACCTCGGCCAGGTTCTTTCTCCTGAGCTCCTGCCTCAGGGCGCCGACCTGGAGACACAGCGGGTCAGCAGGTCAGCCGAGACCAGCCAGGCAGGCTGGGCCCAGCCTCCGTCCTCCTGCCCCCTGAGGGACACACAGGGCTGGCATCTCCGCCTGCCCCCCCACATGGACAGACAGGACAGGACATTGAGTCCTGGGAGCCCCAGCAAAGACTTCGGCCCCTCTAACAGATGGGGAAACTGAGGCTCACAAGGCAGAGATGGGTGCACATAGGCCCATCGGAGCCTAAGGGACAGCCCCGCTCCTGACGGCTACAGGCTCACCTGGGCGCCGTGGGACACTACGCAGATGTGCTGCTGCTCCCGGCCACCCCAGCAGGGGGGCCAGGTGTCATAAACCTCCCGCACCTTCTCGACCACCTGGAGGATCTCGGCCGGGTTGAGCCAGGAGGTCTGAGACATGTCCCGCTCAGGGGTACCTGCCACATGGCAGAACATGAGTGGGTAGTGCTGGGGGTGGCGAGGGATCCGGCCGCTGGCGTGGATGGGGTTGCCCTGGGCCAGGTAGAAGTGGCGAGAGGCAAAGGCCACCAGGGCCTGGGTGGAGCGGTAGTTCTCATGGAAGACGACACGGCTCTGCCGGGAGACCGCGTGCGTCTCCTGCTGGTAGTGGAGGAACAGGCGGTTGAGCAGCGTGTGACTTGCCGCCTGGCTGCCGGCCACGCTGAAGAGCTTGGGTGTGACCTGCAGGTGGTCGCCCGCCAGGACTATGCGAGTGTGGGGCGTGGCGTAGCGTAGTGGGGTCAGGGCCTCGCACTCCAGCATCTGGGCTGCCTCGTCGATAAGGATGTGCGAGAAGAAGCCGGCAGGCACCCTGAGTTCGCATGCCTGGGAGGTGGTGGTGACCACGATACAGTGCCGCTGCAGCTCGGTCCGAGTCGGTGGGCGGAAGGCCCGGCCGTCCTCGGTCAGGCAGCAGTACCGCAGCGTGGCTGCATCCGTCTGGCTCGGAGGGCGGTCCGTGTACATCACCCGGAGCGGTGTGGCCTCGGGGTGGCCGCTGCTGACATGGCCGTGGAAGTACTCCCGGATGTAGATGTCAGCCGCACTGGGGCAGAGACGTCACCGTGAGGCACAGACACTGCCCGACCTTGGGGGCGTCAGTGTCAGCAGAGGGGACAAACACACAAAGGGGCAGGGGGTCCGGGAAAAGCCCAGAGCGCCTGGGTAGTCGGGGGTGGGCCTCCCCCAGGAGGTGACATCTGAGCTGAGACCCAAGAGTGGGGGAGGCAGGAGTGGAACAGCCGGGGCCACGGCCCACGGCCACCTGGAGTGGCTGGAAGTGACCTGAGCTCAGCTCTGACGGGCGTCAGAGGAAGTAGTGGGTTGATATGTGTCCCTAAAAAAGATATGCCCACATCCTAGCCCTTGGAAACTGTGTGACCTTGTTTGGATATTTTGGGATGTGATTAGTTAAGGATCTAGAGATAAAATCATCCTGGATGTGGGAGGGCCCTAAATCAATGACAAGTGCCTTAGAAGAGAGAAGGGCCTGTGACAAGGAAGGCAGAGACTGGAGCAATGCTGCCATGAGCCCAGGGACGCCTGGGCCACCAGACGCTGGAAGCAACAAGGAAAGATCCACCCTGGAGCCTCAGGAGGGAGCGCCGCCCTGCCCGACACCCTGATTTTGAACTTCTGGCCTCAGACCTGTGAGAGGACTCATTTTTGTGGTTTTCAGCCTCCTGGTCTGTGGCTGTCATGGCGGCCCAGGACATTTCAGCAGGTGTGCAGTGAGACCTGGCTCCCCAGCTCCCAGGTCAAGAGGGCAGCGAGGCCAGAGGAGGGCTGTTGGCATCACCCAGGTGAGCCAGCCTCACCCCACCCCCATCCCAGTCCCTCAGGCCCCAGGATGGCACCACCGAGAACCTGGGGATCCCTGGGCCTCTCCCATATACCTGCCTGCCCCAGCCCCCAGCCCCAGCC